AGGTCCAAAGCCGAATGCGTCAAGCGTGTCGAACATGTAGTCCCACGAGACGCGGTCGTAGGCCTTAGCAAAGTCAAGGAAGGCTGCATATCCCTCCTGGTTCCTGACTGTGCATGTGTGTTGTAGGTCCAGCATGAACGCTGTGTGGTCGTGTAGGCGCCGGCCATGAACGAAGCCTTTTTGGGTCGGCAGGACCAGTTTGGGAAGCAGCGCGGACAAGCGGTAAGCTAATGCTCGGCAGAGGATCTTGACCTCCACCGGCATCAAGCTAATCGGCCTGTAGTTGCCAGGGTCTGCACGGTCGTTCTTCTTGAACAGCAACACAACCTCACTGGTACGTTGGCATTTCAATAATGTGCCTCGGTTCAACTGATAGTTGAAAGCGATAGCCAGGATTTCACCAAACACCGCCGGTGCCACCTGGTAGAAGCAGGCAGAAAACTCGTCGGGACCTGGTGTGCGGTGTGGGGCCATGGTTGCGATGCTGGTCTGAAGGTCTGTCCCGGTAACGTCCTCCTCAAGGGCATTCTTATCCTCGACTGTTAATTTTCTCCGTAGGACACGAAGGAAACGACGGTGTGTGGTTCGATTTGGAGGAGTGGGGTCATCCTCACGCATAACACCCGTCCAGTGGGCGACGAATTCTTTTTGGATGATGTCCGGGGCTGACGACAACGTCCCATCGCGTTGACTCACTGATCGTACGGGAGTTTTGTAGAGGACTTTGGTCGGTGGACGGAAGAAATGGGTCGTGGAGCGCTCATTCTTGCTCGCGTGTACGTCAAAGTTGAGGTCAGAGTAGTATAATTTCCACAAGTCCTCCGATTCGAGGAAATTTTTCTCCTCCTCCTCGATATCTTGGAGATTTGACAACCCCTCTCTGTGTAGGCAACGCGCTTCCGCCAAGCGTACGGCGGAGGCTGTCTTTTCTCGTGAAAAATGCGATTTGACGTGGCGGTGGGCTTCTTGGAGGAACCTCCGTGTACGTTTCTTCCAAACATGCCACACAACGCCTGGGTTTTTGCGTCGCGGAGGACGACGAGGAGTCTTGAAGCCTCCATCGCGATGGCCTCTCGCACCTGAGGGTACTGTAGGAGTTCCTTCGGCAGTTTCCAATATCCTTTCCCCATCGTTTGATGTGTGTCCTCTAGCAGGAGTGTGTGGATCGCATGGTCGCCAGCTACGTGTGCGTCCAGCCGTTTGTAGTCGCTTGAGACGTAGCAGTCTCTGACAAGGTGTGTATCGGCAAGGATATAGTCTAAGCGGGTCGTTTTGTGTGGCCCTGAATAGGTACGATCCTCATCGTGATGCATGCGCCAAGCGTCGGTCACACGTAGGGCCGCAAGCCACTCCAAACAGTTGAATCGGCCCACGGTATGTACGTGGTGCGGTTTGTCCGCGTCAAGGTACAGGTCCAATGGTAGGTTGAGATCTCCCATCACTACGTGCATGCTGTCCTCTGGAAAGTCGCGTGGTAGACTGTCGTAAAATGCGACCCGTTCTGTTGGTTGAACAGGTGCATATACGCAGTGGAAGTATACAGGGGTCTCCTGCCAATGGGTATTGACCACCATGTATTTGTAGGCGACGTCGAGCTCGGTCATATGCCGGAGGTCCCGGAAGCCTGGTACTGTGTCGTCAAAGACCAGGGCGACGCCACCGCTACGATGCGCTGTGTCCTCATTTAGCGCGGGGGCATACTCGGGGTTGGCACGGGGGTCGTTCACGGCAATGAAGCATTTCCCATGCCCGAGAGCGTGTTGAATGTGGTAGGTGAAAGTGGACAGGTGATGGCTGTCTTTCAGTTTCGTCTCTTGTAATGCGACAATGTTTGCCTTGCGCATGATGCGCTCGACAAAAGTATGACCGTTGTCGACGGGGGTGATGCCGTTGATATTACAGGTGAGCAGTTTGACAGATGGAATAGGCTAGGTGTGATGAGACTGTAGGCGGAACTTAGTACCGATGCGCTGGCAGCGCGAGACCCAGTTGGACTAGTCGAAGGATACAGTCTGTTCCCGCCTTGACCACCGACAGTGTTTAATCCTCGTCGTAGACGTGATGCCATTCACGCATGGCGATCAGCTGCATCACGAGCCCATGGTTGGGTAAGTACTATACCAACCGTTCCAAAATACTACCCCCCAAGGCTGTGCGTAGGATGAGCAGCAAAGTGTTTGGAGTGAGGAGGCGGCCACTACCAGATGGAAGTCAGATTACTGGTTGCCCGGTCAAGCACAACAACCATGCATCCTTCTGGAAGAAGGTAGGCGCCATGATACTCAACCATAGTTCAAAGAGGGAGAGAGCATCCTCTACTAGGAACTGGGGGAGGGGCACGGGACCGCTTGCGTCATTTACAGCATCCGCGAGAAGTTCCTCGCGGCGGTGCTGCAATTGGCTAGACCCAAGCTTCGATTTCCCATAGAAGTGCTTGAAGGTATCCGAGAATGATTGCACCTTCCGCCCCGTGGAAGCTCCAAACCATCGCTGCCATGTATGTAATTGGATCACTGACTCCAGTTGTGTAGGGTGAGATTTCGCCATGGCATGATCACTGACTCCAGTTGTGTAGGGTGAGATTTCGCCATGGCATGTAGTGCCACATTGGCTGATAGGTGCTTCTTTTGGACCTGGGTCCACACTCTGTCGGCCTGGCCCTTGAGAACGAGCTCAGATAGGTCACTGAGGTTATCGGCGACCGCCTCTGCAAAGGTTCGATCCATGTCCGCAAGTTCCTCAGCATGAAGTTGTTTGATTGACTCTTCCAGAATCGTTTGTAGTCGCTCCAGTGTCATCGATTCGACGTCGAATGTCAGGGTGCTCTGGACTTGGTGCATTGTAGTGACGCATTGGTTGCGGGTCACGTCAGATATCTCCTGCCGATGAAAAGTAGGAATTATTGTGACGATATCCTGGTCTTTCCTCCATTGGAGGTTGTTAAATCCTCCAGTGTAGGCGCGAAGGACGTCAAAGAAATTCGGCGTCGCATATTCCGCCAGTGTTTTTGGCGGTGAGCGAGTCAGTTCCTTGCGTTTCTTGCGTCCCGACACCACTTGGTACGGTACGTCCACTTCCATCGACTGATTGTTGTCCATGAATGTGTCCTCAGTGTCCATGTCAGCCTCCGCATCATCCTCGAACACGCTTACGTATTCGCTAGTGACTGGCCCGATGGCGCCGGTGGAATTTTCGGGTCGAATAGTCTGCTGAAGCGTCGAATCGAATTGCCGAAGTGGAGGCGGAATTTCTGAGGTAATACTCTCGGTGATCGCAACGTCTTCCTTTGGTTGCATAGGCTTGGTGCTCTTTTTGGCCTTTTTTGACGTGGCCGTAATGGCATTTCCAATTACCGACGATTTTGGGCCAGGGGTGTTGACAGTTTGATCGTCCGTTGCTTCCTCGTGTGGGCGCTTTACCTCGATGTCCACACAGTGCGACGAGACTCCGTTAACCCCATGGAATGGAGTCCCTTTAGTTCCTTTGAAGTACACACGGTAGTAGAACCGCGGGTATTTAATTTGGTTGATTGGTTCTCCATTGATCCGCAATTGGTCAGGGATAGCCGCGTCCGAGAAATAGATACGCCATGCGTTCGTGTGGCACCCAGTCCCAGGAATGACAGCACGATGGCTGTGGTAGACTACATCGACGCCGAGCTGGGTCAGCTTGCGGTAGAATTGAGTTGCATCAAAGTTGTCGCGGATGCCAGTAATGTCTATGAAACAGAGGGGGTCCAATGGGTGCTCCTCCTGCACAGGGATGAGGTACTTCTTGCCCATACACAAGGTCTGTCCCCCAAGTGCTTTGCGGGCATTTGAAGTTGTCACTGAAACCATAATTCCACCACGTCTGAGTCGAGTGACTTGGACGAACTCAGAAAGCAGCGATTTCACCGTGTCTGTTTGCGCACTAGCAAAGAGCGAGGACATAATGGCCTCGTGCGACTGGTTAGCAAGTGCGTCACCAGTATCCACCGTGAAACGAGCCATGGCCACCTTTGGGGTGTAGGGCCTAGCCAGGTTGATCTTTGCGAGAATGTCGACGCGATCCTTTTTGGGCTTGGAGAGCTCCAATAGGATCGCTTCGATGGCGTCTGCTGGGGGCGGGACAAATGCAGCCTTGGTGTGCTGCTTAGTAGCAGCAGTGAACCCACGAATGACCTGATTGTAGTCCAGTGGATTGTGGTTAGCTCCGCTCGAGGCTGCAGGTCCAGAAAGTGCAGGCGGTGTCGACTGTACTTCGGTTGCGTTGGCCAATGGGGAAATTCCAGGAATTATCCCTGCGTTTTGATCACTGATTGGCTGGGGTCGACCAACGTCAAAATTCCCAATTGGTTGGTTAAATTTGGAATTTCCCAAATCGCGATTACTGATTGGTTGAAATTCCAAATCAGAGCTCGCAACAGGTAAATCGAAGTTTCCATCTTCGAACTCGACAGGCAACGACGACGGCGTTGGCGGCATCGACGGCGGCAGCGGCGTGGTGCGCGATGGAGCCACCGGTCCAGGTAGACATGTAGGCTCGGTGGCCCGAGCCCGTAGGCGCTGAGGACCAGGCGGAGGCCAATCGCCACCAGTGGACGGGTGGGCTGCCACGTCGGCATCATCAGGCGGCGCGGCGGTCGGCGGCAAAGTCGAGGCAGGTGAGTTCCAGGAACCATGGGACTCATTGGCACCTTGGAGTAGGACTCCTGAGTGGTTCCCAGAGGGTTCAAGCAGCGGGCGTGGGCTGGGGGCAGTGGAATTGCGAGCAGCGTTCGACATGATCAACCGATAGGAAAGGGTACGTTTCTACTGACTACGATGGGCGAGGCTAATAGAAAAGTGTGGGGGGGGAATAGCTCAGGTGGTAGAGCATCAGTTTCTTAACTCAAAGGTCGTGGGTTCGATCCCCGGCTTCCCCGGAATATTTCCGCAAGGACGTATCCGTCCCTCCCTGGGGAATCCTAAATGCCGCGTACGAAGACGGGGACCGAACTTCGAAGAAGCACGGTCGTAGCACGAGGTATGAAGCGTTGAGCGATGTAAAAACCGAAGATTACACACCGCCCCTGGTCGAGCAAGCGCGTTACAATTGGCGAAGCGGTTCCACAACATGTGGTTCTAGTGTCGGCCCTCGCGGAGGAATGTCTTAAAAATGATAATCCAAACTCACAGTAATTAATCAACCATAAGATTCTCTATGTTCAGTACTATGTACGTAGGTATAAATACAAAAACGTAATAGAAAACTATATACAAATTGTTCAGTACGACTTGAAAACATCTTTCGGCTTTACAACTATCGGGTTCGATGTTGCGGCATAAGTCAAATGTGTTTCAAGTCTAAAGTAGTATTTTTGGCACCTCGAAATTGTCCTGATTGTGTAGAAATATATCATAATTGTATACATTGTAGGGTACTGTAGACAAGAAATTCTAAACAAAATCTTCGTAGAATGTATTCATTTTTACCTAATGTGAGGTGTAATAACACAACTATCGAAGAACACAACTTTATTTGGAGCCAAACATATTCATGAACATCATGAGTTGTTGTTCTCAACGATCTTCCCGATCACGACGCTCTTCTTCTGCTCTACGATCGCGTTTATGGTGCTCTCTATCCACTTTGCTCTCGCTATCCTGCTGCTCTCTTTTCCATGCAAGCCCCGCTCGACTCGTTGTTGTTCTCAAATCACAGAATGCTTGTCCATCGATGAACTTGCCGACGGATTGTCGCTTTTTCGCCACGTACGACAATTGACCGGTCGAATCACATGAACGACCTGACTTGAGGGTTTCACCAAGCTCCTCCAACACCAAACGATCGAGGCCCGTTCCATTAGGTCTTTCGTACTCCACGTGGTCTAGTATTCATAAGATATCAAAAGAGTCGAAATAAATGTACTGAGCTCTGAGGCGACATCGTCGTCGTTGTCATCCTTATATCACGTGCCAGCCGTTTTCCACTCTTGACGTCGTCCGGGCAGTCTCCAGTGGGATTTTAGTGGTTTCGAAGTTGGGCAAACTTGCGATTAAGCGCATCGCTGGGGGAATGTTGTTGGGGCCGAGTTGAACTCGTTTTGCACCTTTACCCGCCCATTCTTTACCTAAGGGTAAGATTGCTTCAGCCACCAGTCTTGTTCTTTTATAACTCAAAACTATCAGAATATAGAGTATGTGTTTGCGACTGCGATTTCGCAAACCACTGATTTGTTGAGACCGTTTTCTGGTCTCAACATCTTGCGAAGGAGTACTTTTAGACGGAATATGTCACAGGTGTGAAAGTTCACAAATTTAGTTGTGTAGGCTTTGGAAGGCCCAGTGTCCTGGGTGATGGATATTCCCAAATGGCCCCAAACGTGACGGATCAGTGAGCAGCCGAATGTTCAGTCAATAGCCGAACCGCATTACCCAATAGAACTCCATAATTGATATGATTGGATAAAATCCTGCAACAACTAACACCTTCAAACATTTATGGTGGGAAATAGTACAAATTTATAGAGGAGTTGAGCTTGTTTCAAATCAAAGTGTGCGAACGTCGTACACGGCTGACGTTGTGGCTAAGGCCATAGCAGATGTAATCTCCAAGAATCTAACAATCCCTGCTGCTGCGGACGCATATTCAATTCCTCAGCGATCGCTTCGCACACACAAATGGCTAAGCTAAACGCATGGACACTGCAGCCAAGACGATGGGACCACCGCCTGTGTTACCACGGGTACGAAATTGACCTGGTCACATGGATTCTAGCAATGCAGCGCAGCGGCCACCCTGTAAACCGCAGCCAGATCCTAGACAAGTCGGCCGCAATGCTTGATGTCGTCAACGGGTTTGCACGACCCGCCAAGCTGACATCGGGTTGGTACCAGCGTTTCCTTGCACGGCACGACGTTCTCAAGACAAAAAGTCAAGTTTGCTGAGTAAACCAAGAAACGCAGTGGACAAGGATGCTGTCGTTCAATTCTACGACGAGTTGGTCACAGCATTATCATACGTCAATATGGATCCCAAGCGAGTCTTCAACATGGACGAGTCTAGTTTCTTTCCGTCCAAGACGTCAACCAAGGTGGTCGTTCATCGGTCAACGAAGCACGCGCATGTGGACGAGGCTGTGGCGTCTTCTAATGTCACCATTGTTGCTTGTGTGGGTGCGGATGGCTCGAAGATTCCACCACTGTTTGTCCTCCCTGGCGATCGTATGTCTACTGACATCTGCGACAACCTTGTGATTCCTGGTGCAGCTGTGACGACATCTGAGAAGGGGTGGACGAACTCATACATTTGCCGCCAGTGGCTCTCAATGCTCAGCTTAGACATTCCTGTGTCGACGTTGCAAGCTATCCTCTTGACTGTGGATGGATATTCATCTCTCTACTACATCTACGACGAGGCGCAGGGAATGGATATCTTGTTGTTGTTTTTGCCAGCCAACTCGACTCATATGTTCCAGCCGTTGGATGTGACCGTGTTTCGTCCGTTCAAGCAAGCCATTCGACAGGTGATTGTAAACGACAAGTGGAACGACGTTGCGACCAGGGTATTAGCAAACAACAAGCAATTTCAATTGTGTGCCGTGTGTAGACGTCGACGACCAAGGAGTCGTCCATCACCAATGGGTTTGATAGCACTGGCCTGTGCCCACCGTCGCTGGAGAAGATGCTCTACCGATTGTCAATTTTCAAGCCGCCTCAAGACGACTCCATTGAGCTTGACGACACGTGGCTTCAACAGGTCGCTACTGTGGCGAGCAAATTGCTCCTGCTGCCGCTGCAGAAGAAGAAGCGTATTGCGAGGAAGACTTTGACTATCAGTGGTAAGTTTATTACGGCAGATTACCACGCAACCCTCCAAAGTCAAGCCGTCGCTCGTCCAAAGGCCCGCAAGATGATACTGTCTAACCGATTTGCTACGCGTCAAAGGCTTGGTATATATAGTTCGTCGAGCATCGAATATGTGAAGCACAACACATTTAATATATCTCTATAAATTTATATTTTGATACCTTAAAAGCCGAAAATACAACATACTTTAAACCAGTTTAAATTTCGCCTAACCACTGATCGCCTGTTTGAGCAACAAACTTCGTCATTTTTATTGCCCTGTTTAAAACTCTTTAAATGGAACTGTATTCGGACGATGGGATACAGCTTAAACTAGGGAATTCGACACTGCATCTTTTACGTCTTGGCCATTTGAACTTCACGAGATATGGTCGAATGAATGCAGGTCAAATTCGGCTGGTTATACAACTCTGTGGTTTACCGTGTAGTGTATATTGGTTTAGACAGCCTTTTTGATGTGGACTCCTGTATAAAATAGTACTATTTGCGGTTAGGACACATATCAAGTTTGGCTAGTTTATCCTTGGTGCCTTTAAGGACCTCTTATACTTCATATAACCCCTATCTACCGATAAAGTATCAATTTATAGAGAGAATCTCGAAGGTTTTTGGGGCATCAACTTGGCGCGCCAGCTACCAATCGTCCAGCATGACCAAGGCATCACTCCAAGCTCCAAGCATCCAGTGGCAAGCAGCAATGCTGCGCAGGATCCTTCGGGAAAGCTACGTGGCCGTCCCGTGTCGAAGTACGGCCCCAAGTCGTTCGTACTGCAGTTCAAGTACAGGACCGTCGAATACCGGCACAGGTTGGACGTAATTAATCGAGTCGCCGACATCGGGATGTCCGCCTTTCTTGACTCCTACTGCGTCAACTACTCTACAACGCAACGCGAAACTACTCCGAAGAAAGTGTATGGATGGATCAAACGGAAGGGACACATCGAACAACATGCAACGTTGGCTCGTATGGCGCATCAACAGTGCGCCCGGAAACGCGGAACTGGTACAACCTTGCCGCTAGACGCTCAAGAGCAATTAGCTCGTTGGGTGCTCGGGATGCGTAAGGATGGCATACCTGTGACGTACGCAATGCTGCGCATGATGGCCTTGGAAACCGCCATCGACGTGGTCCTGAGCGAAGACGAGTTCAAGGCGGGTTGGCACTAGATCCATGGGTTCAAGAAGCGTCACGGCCTTACCTTTCGCGCCAAGACTCGGATTGGCCAGGACTCCAACGAAGACGGGGGGCTGCGATGTTGGCTGACTTCTCGGAGCGTGTGCTGTTCTCTGCGATGGCGAACGACGTGGAAACGATCTACAATGCAGACCAGACCGCCGTGAACTACGAATTCCTGCTAACAAAGACGTTGATTCATACCAAGGAGAACACTGTGTGTGTGAAATGCGCTAGAAAGACGAAAGAACGCGCGCCGCAATGCTGCTGGGCGACACGGATGGCAACAAGCACCCGCTTTTCCTTGTCCTCAAGACAACAAAGTCAAAGAAGAAAGAAGTCGTTCAAGAGAACCTTACCATGCGCCATGGGTTCGGACGGACCGTGTGGACTGAGATCGAGCCTCTACAAAGCGAGTTTGGTTTGAGATCTACGGCAATCCGACTGCGTGGCGGAATGCAGGCATATCGCTTGCTTTCCTCAAGTATCACTTTGGGGACAGACCTGACCGCGAGACGAAGAAGATCATGCTCTTGTGGGACGACTTCAGCGCTCACTTCACCGAGGAAGTTGTGGCCTATGCGGAGTCGATCAATGTGGTCCTGGAACGCATTCCTCCTCGGTTTACCTGGGTTTGCCAGCCGGCCGATGTTGCGTGGATCCGGCCGTTGAAGTCCGCGCTTCGGGAGAATTGGCTCGTTGAGATCCGGCGCGAAGTGCGCAACAGCCGCCTCGCAAACGTCAACTTCAAGCTGCGCGGTCCCTCAAGATCTACGATGGTGTCATGGATCACGGTCGCCTGGACCGACTTACCTTCCACGGTGATTTTGAACGGTTTTCGCAAATGCCGACTTCTACCAAGTGCAGTTGAGGAGTGTGTGGTTGTTGACAGTGTTGTGGATGCCAACGTACTTGTTGATTTGATTGCCAACCTTGCGATTGAGGAGACCATCGACCCAGCGAGCGATATTGACGTCACTGATGTCATCGACCATGATGAAGTTGTTTAGTCGTAGATAATATAATATCTCGATGTTTGTAATGAAATATAATGCAATGTTGCCTCCAGAACATTGTTACCTCTTTAAAATTTATCATCTCATTTTCGCATAACGTAAAATGCCAATCTATGCTGTACCACATTTTTCTACTTGTCAAGAATCAACATTTCTCTTGACTGAGGAATCCGATTTGTACCCTGAATCGAGCATTATGTCGAGGATGAAGCGCACTATTTCTGGGGTACTAAATTATTTTGTTTCACGCTTAAAATGGCATATCTACATTCGATTTTATATGCAAAATCTATATAGTTGCGTGTGCCAATCTTTGCTGTAAAATTTTATCTTTAAGTATGTATGGCTCTATGCATATAAATTTTGTGTCACCAACTTTCCAAGCACAACCCGAACGGTATAAGACCATCCAAACTCCTCTCTTATGACAATTTAGATCACGAATACAGTCTGACTAACATCACCACTAACTTCAGCTCCGATAGGGACAGATGCGGTCAAGTCCAGTGTAGCCACGCCATCATGTCCGTCGGCGACGCCATCGACACCGGCACCATGTCCAAGTTTGGCCTTCTTTTTCGCTCGCTTGGCTTGAAGCAACTTCTTTTGTTTGACAGCGGCAATCTGCTCTTCCTTGGTAGTGTCAACCTCGGCAAGCAGCGAGAGGGTAAGGACCCGTCCACCGACATCAATCCTTTTTCGCCCAGTCCATCTTTTTCCCTTGGAGGCGTTTAAAACGGCAATTCGAAAAGCGATTTTTGATGAAATGATACTCGACGGTACGAATATTTTGAAATATACTCCAACATAACAATTTCTCGATAGTTACTGGCGTATCTCAAAAACCGCCGCTCTGCGCATCGCGTCCCACGCATGGACCCGCCACGTTTTGCCTGCGAATGTTGTCAGTGAATTCAGAACATCGGGGATTTACCCCCTGTCCCTGGAGCAGATGACGCGCCATTTCGAGCTTTTTAAGCACAGAGGTACCCCGTCGACTCACGTCGAGGTCGACTGGATACAGCACCAAGCTACGATATGGAATGAGTTGCTGCTCTTGCGACCAAACATACTCACGTCAAAGGGTTGAAACAAATGTGTCGCATTCGATGGCAAAGACAACAAGATAGCTTGCAGTACATCACACAAAGCAACAATCTCAGACGAAAAGTGAGAAGACAAGCCATAAAAAACCAGTAAAATAGGTCTTAGAGTGGAAGCATCAGTCCCAAGCATGCCATCGACGACATCGACCACGGCAACTTCCAGCTCTGCTGGAGTGTATATCCGTCTTGGTTTGCTGGGTGGCATGCCAAATTAACACTGCGCGCCATTCCATCATGTTGTCATTATCATAATATGGAGGTTTTGCCGCGCAACTCCAAACTCATTGATTGGCTGGATTGCGTACAGCATCAATTGGCACATACCCCATAGATTGGTATTTTACGTTATTTGCAACGTTAGCCGAGCATAAAATGGATACTAGTGTATTGTATGTCCACAACAAATTACATTATCCGTATCATGAGTCAAGGTGCTTTTTTGTCTGGTGACTGTCCAAAACAATATACACTACACTGTAATATACAGATATTTGTCCCAGATGCTGTGTTTTAATATAATGTACATTTGGTTTGACCAATGAGAGTCACGAAAAAAATATATTTAGCCAATCAGAGCAAAACCAAGTTTTTCATCGAAATCCATCGATATAATTGGTGTATATCTACCAAACAAAAGCTGTATATGACACACTGCATCCATTTAATTGGCGGAAAATATCTGCTCATCAGATCAAGGTGGGTGTGACTATGACTATCTTAGAGCATCCCCACCCCTGACGCTAAACCCAAAACTCTAAAACCAGATCTAAAGTGGGATCACGCAAAATAATTTAGCGTTTTTCATCATATTTCACACCGGTTGCTAAACAGCGATTGAACTCTATTCGCATGGATGCACGACACCAAGCCGCAGAATCGCCTGGATAAAAGTAGTTCAGGGCAAAGCATGCCAACAAGTCAGTGAATGAACTACTAGCAGGGAATATCGCTTAGAAAGCCGCATCAGTAGTAGTACTCCGTTGCCGGTACTAGTGCGGTTGCGACCTATAATCGCGTCTACGCTTATATGCGCTTGAAAACGAACAGATACACAATATTTGATTGATAGTCTACGCATGCGTTAACAGAAATCCAAAAGTCGCAATAGAGGGGGAGGGGGCATGCTCCGTTGGTCGAGACTGCACCCGCTCGCTCGCGTACGGTGCCCACATCACAGGCACTGGGATGTGTGTAGGGAGTTAGTTGATAACGCAGAGGAAATTGTGAAACTGGTTGATTGGCGTTATCTACATGCATGGCTTCTCTGACTATACTATATCTACTGTTATACATACGTGCGCTCTGCAGAAGGAACTTCTGGTGTCCATGGCCGAGCACGCCGCACGCCAATCGAGCTTGGTCGTAAACTGACGTCAGCAGTGACGTCTGTTCTCATTGGTCAATAACCCTATGACGCCACTGGAGTGACGTCGCTACATTCTCCCCAGGTTATCGACTTCGCCGCTTGTATCTTCGCTCGCAGATCTTGAACCAGTCGCTTGAAATGGGAAACATGTTTGATGTCCCGTCAAGTCCCCAGGTCGCTTCGTATTCAGGCAATCCATGCCACTTGACGAGGTACTCTTTCTTGCGGTTGAACTGCCGTTGCTTCAGCAGCTCTTCGACGATGAAGACTTCGTGGCCACTGTCGTCCAAAAGCATTGGAGTCGCTTTGGGTATGGGTCGGTTGGTAAACCGATCCGTTTGGCCTGGGCACTTCTTCAGTCGATCGACATTGAAGACGTTGTGAAGACGCTTCATGCTCTTTGGCAACTCCAACTTTATAGCATTCGGGTTGATTACTTGATGATCTTAAAGGGACCAATGAACTTCGGTACTAACTTTGGTTTATCATCCTTGTTCACCAACTTCGCATGCTTGATGGGGACGTTGCGTTCGCTAGCATTACAAACTCGTCTTCGCAAAACTCCAATTTGGAGCGCTTTTTGTCGTAGTAGCTCTTTTGACGAGGCTGTGCTTTGTCAAGGTTCTGAAGTGCCATCTTGACTAATGCTTTACGTTGTTCGGAAAAGTTCTTCGCGTACTCATTCAAAGTTTCAACTTGATTAAGAATGGGTTATGGGTTATGGGGTTACGCAACTTTCTGCCCGTGTCCACTTCGAATGGAATGAGTCCCATCGACGCTTGAATCAATCCTTGGTGCGCATACTCAATGGTGCCGAGGTGCTCTGACCAGTCATGTCCGAGGTAACTGACTTGGCAGCGCAAGGCATCTTCGAGTGTCCGATTTTGGCGCTCTGTGGCTCCATCACTCTGCGCTCTTCCTGCAGTCGTCATGAAGTGCTTGACTCCCATGATTTTCATGAGCTCCTGCCAAAACTGGCTGGTGAACTTGGAGTCACGATCA